TTCATGTGTTGTTTCTAAAGGTTTTTTTTTATTTCAATCTGTATCTGAGATAAATTTCTGTTTATGTTCTACATATCTTTATTGTAGTCATATTTTTCCTTTCTTTCTTTGGTAGTTTTCCACATTTTTTGTTCAACGATGGAGCAGTAGAAACCCAAAATCCCTCATTATTGTTATTATCATTATCATTTGGATTTCTTCACAAAACAATACAAAATATCGGTTTGTTGAACAAGCCGAAAATTAAATACGTAGTATTTTCATTCCCGATTACAATAAGGACAATGCGAGAATATAAACGTTCATTAATGTACGTCTGCCTTGGCTCTGCCATGAGCGGCATTTTACTACCAAAGTTTATAAACAAAACCTTTTCGATCAAAGAAACAAACGGTTCGATGACATGTGGAATCTACTAATGTTTGAAAGGCATGCCACTGATCCTAAAAATAATATCAGAAAGTAAACAACTTTCTCGTTATGGGTGAAATTTATTCAGCCCTGTTGAGCTGAATTTATACATATATTTTCAGGTCATAACTGTAAACTAATTTTAGGCTCTGTTCCAGAATCTGTTACTCTTTATTTTACAGAGGTAGAAGAACCCAACCACATGAAAAAATTATTGACAGTCTGCTCCTTAATTTTAGTCTCGTTTTAGGCTTTTTTTCCACCTATTGCCAAGCGGCTTTGGAAGCTCTTGGCTACTACTGAGCAACGTTTATTTGCCAAAAACGACCATCCTCAATAGGAAGACTTAAGAAATTGTCTCTGGTCTGGATTCCTGGCCATACTGGCCTGGAAAGTAATGAGGCTGCTGATTTCTTTGCAAAGGAGGGCGCTGCAAGCAGCTTCATCGGACCAGAACCTGTCATTGGCTTTAGGCTTTGCCAAATAAACATTGAACATCTGGATGGCAAAAAGATTTATAGACTTCTGGCAGAATCTTCCAGGATTCATTCACCCTTCGGAGCTTGAAACCAAACAGTTGTTGGACTACAGTAGGGATGAATTACGATGTCTAACAGGCTTTCACAGGTCACTGTCGTCTGAATTATCATATGCAGAGACTTAGACCGATGATGATGAAACAGCAGAGTACATACTTTGTGCCTGCCCAGATTTTCAGAGTTTGGCAGAGCCGCCCTCTTACCATCTGATCTGCAAGATTACTCACCATATAAACTAATCGACGCCGTTAAGGAGCTGGGTTTATTTGGTCGAGTATGAATATGTGTGAGCCAGAATAAACCTTTGCGGGTTGCGGTGGAGGGTCGAATAGACTCAGTCACTTTTGACCTGACCTAACCTAACCCCCTATTGCCAATTTTTCGTCTGTGTGTGTTTTTTTAAACCTGTGGGTTCTGCTAGCTTTACCGTCAGAATGGGAAATCCAAATCAAAATTCTTCACTTTTCGCAAATTCAGAAATTCAATAATTTCAGGTTCATTTTAGGCTGCTTCATTCATCTTCAGTTATCAAGACCATAGTACTGTATACACACTTAGAAAGCTTTTGGTTACAAATTACAAACAAAAAGAAGCAAGAAGACTTGCTGCTTTATGCGCAAACTGAATGTGATCTGAATGCACTATACAGAAACCAAAGTCTACTTCGAATGTATATAACATTTTCCCAGATATTTTTCTAGAAATACGTAAACTTTCAAAAATCTTCAGTTTGCAAGAAACTAAACATTTTCAAAGTATGATTTCCAAGTATGTTTTCTATTAAAAATCAATATTTTGCAGAAAATTCAAAAAATTTGCAGCATAGAGACATATTAAGACAGGATGTGAGTTTAAATGATTGAGAGTGAGGAACACGGAATCTGAATACGAAATAAAAATAGGTCATATCGGGCTTGGAACACAAGATGAGTTAGACACACTATTTAAAAGTCACGATGAGAAGGAACACAATCCGGATTAGCAGGCCAAACATTTCGTCTGCTACTGTAGTGACTGTTGTCGCGTTGCTGAGACTTGTCTTCGCATATACTACTGAAGATGCTGCCGCAGTAGCAGATGAAACGGTCGAAAACGGTCTACCAATCTGAATTTTGTTCTTTCTAAGAGGATACACATCTATAAAAATACTGACATTAAGTTGATTGCCGATATTTATGTTCACAATGAAAATCGCGATTTACAACAGATACATTTGGAGAAATAGTTTGATTTTTGTGTTCAGCACTAATATGCTTTCAAAATTGTCTGCTAGTTTTAGAAAGGCATACAAATTTCACAGTGATTTTCACAACTCCACATTTGAAAATGTTGAACAAAACGACAGCATATCTAACATTAATAATTATTACAAAAAATATCAATATTGCAGCTATATCGCCTAATAACATTATTTTACTATTTTATAACCAGATTTCTTATGAATGTGAACACCGTTTCCCTCTTTTGGTAAAATGATAGCGTGAATCAGTTGTAATGTGTTTTTTGTGATTGGTTTTGAAGGATCTCAATCTTCATTTAATAAAAACTATGATACAACTTTGATACAAATTTACTTATATCGTTGAATGACTCATTAATATACCATGAATTATGCAGTAGTTATCACAACACGAGCAGGTGAGTACATAAATAAGCATGAGAGTGTAATACTATAACATACAAACGAGGAAGGTATGGATTAGACTGACGGACATCAATACCTGATTATGAGGTAAAAAGTCACAAAATTTGCCTACCCAATATTTCTAAAAACAATCATAGGAAAAGTACGAGACCTCTATAAACTTAACAAAGCCACTTGCAGTAAAACTATTGAAATAAATGTCAATGATTGTCAAAATATGTCGTGAAAAAAAAGTAACGAACTTGATATCGAGTTAGCACAGTCATCCAAATGAAATTCTTGATTGAACTTGAATGTAAAAATTTCTGTTAACAATATTTGTCGAATAGTTGTCGTAACGATTCCTAAAATACATTCTCTGGAAATTATTGCAATTTTCGTGTAATTTGCATAAGGTGGCAACACCGTATATTCGATTTCTTTATATTTCGGGAACGAAAGAAACCAAAAAAGTAATTTATATTTTATTTCCGTTGGAGAAATCAGTATCATGAACTTATTTTTCTTGAAATAACAGCATTTTTCGGTTATGCTTTGATTTCCATTATTGCTACTAGGTAGCAACGCCGCAATCTGAATAGTTTTTTTGTTCTTCAAGTTTTTCGAAAGATCGGCAACAAAAAATATATAGTCGATACCAGAAAAAAAAATTAAAATTCTCCCAATTCTATTATGAATTTCAGTTGAAAAATTGTTTTCTTTTTGTTCACTACCTTCCGAAAGTGAAAAACTAATGAAATATTCAGATTGTGATATTGCTACCCAGTAGTGATCTGTTTAAAATCTGTTTTTCCGTTAACCAGCTGTCGCACCCCTACGAACGACAACCCTCAGAAGTCGAAACTTGTGCGAGCTAAGGATTAACGAGGTCTTACCTTTTAACGTGTGATTCCTAACACGGTAGGTAATAATAGAATACAACGCATAACATAAAAAATGCTATATTTTCGGGAAAAATACGTTTTGTATAGTTTTTTGATATCGAGTGAGTTGCGGCATTTACTCGACAAATACTGATATCACAAGTTTCCACTTATGAATTTTATCAAGGCTTTTACTGGGGACTTGTGCTTACTTTATATCAAGTTAGCCGAATTCTCCATTGAAAAAAATGCGCGACTATTGCTTCATCCAACTTGAGGGTACCCAAAACTTCCCAGAAGCCTTTGCAAAACATGCTACTGTGGACCAGCCTACCGAAACTAAGGTGTAAGGAATCGTGCCGACAGCTGAATGGCTGCAGGGTGATATGCGGTCACGAACGATCCCCTTGGGGAACTGGGCGAAATCTAATTGTAATCAGCCTTCCTCTGGTAATGCGGGGATCTGCCAGAGGTGACCTACTCTTTCCTTGCTACTCATGGGAACACACATGAATGAAACAAATACAAAAACAGAAACAACAGAAACAAAAACCAATCCCGAGGCTGGACAGAAGTGCTCACCTCAATCTAAGGCGGTGGCTGGGGATGAACAGAAATGTCCATCCCAATCTACCGTTTGGAATGAGGTTGGATATAGCAGATCACCTCCAACAGAAAGAGCACTTCCTGCGGCGGGCGCCAAGAGCTCCGCCTTGAATAAAGGCAAGAAACCGGCTGCCCCTGCAGGAAAACTCCCTCACTTGTGCACCTCCACGGAGGGAACCCCAAGAAGGTTGAAGAAGCCGCGCAATGACAGTAATATCGCTGCACCTTCCAAAACCTTCGCGGAGGCCACCGTGAGACACCTCAAGGTTGCCAAAGAGAGTGTGTGTTCCAGCTGAGTGGAGAAAAGTGTCTTCTGTATAATTCAGTATTCATATAGAAGTGTGTAATTCAATGTTTATATGGAAGTAGCTGTTTCAGGAGGGCTTTTTCTTCCAGTTTGTGTCTGAAAGTTACTTCTTTGCGTGATCTACACATCCATGTATAGAGTTATTGTTTTCAAATTGATTACTTCCTTCCTTTCTTTGGAGTATTCCCACATTTTTTTGTATCAAGATGGAGTAGTAGAAAGCCAAAAACTTTCTTTCCCAAAAATTAGTCACTCCTAAGAATATAACCCCAATTCAAGTTGCAATTATTCAAGAAATATTGTAAATTTCAACATTTGAGTTTCATCAAGAATTTAATTAGGGGTGGCTGTGCTTGATATCACGTTAGCAGAGCTACCTCTTATATCTCTTATAGTGGCGCGACAATTATTTTTGTTTCACGAAGAATTCTTGACAATTTATAAAATGTATTCCAATTATTTTAATGCAAGTGGCTTTGCCAACTTCATAGAGTAAATACGAGCGCATTCTGAAAAGATGCGTCACGGTGAGTGTCATCCTGCCAGAGTCTGAAATGTTCTCGTAGTTATAGTATCACGAGATGTGATTTAGTATTAATTACAAATATACCGGTTTTCATTTCGCTTACCTGCTATGCAAAACCCGCAGAGACTTAGGTGACATACAGTTCACACTCCAATCAGTGTTGCCATGATCATTGCAAATGGTAATGGAAAATCGACCATAGTTTGCTCGGATCAACTTGATGAGTTCCCCTTCTCTACATTCGATCTTCAGAATTTTTCCCTCGCAAGCGTATGCCGTCTCATAGCGGATTTCTGTAACAAAAAAAATAGGTATAATTTCTCCACCATTTATGTATTTACAAGCTCAAGCTCAATTCAGTAATAAACAAAAGTTTGACATATGTTTTCTCCGTTAACCGGCTGTCGCACCCCTACGAACCACAACCCTCAGAAGTTGATACTTACAAAATACTACAAGCTAGTATCGAACATTAACAATGGCAAAGCTTAATAAAACAAAGCAAACCAGATAAAAAAGGTACAGAAAAACAATTTGGAGAGTTATGTAATTACTCACAAGACCACAAAATACTAAAATATTGTGTATAGTTTTGTATAAAAAGTAGAGTTGGCCCCCTCTAAAAGTGAATCCGCTTGTTTGTTTTTGACCCCTTTTTCGCAACCAAGTATAAATATCAATATTGC